CCAAAAATTCCAACATTTGTGTTGAGTTTGAGGCCCTCACCAACAAATACGTGAGTTCATTACTTAGTACGATCAAAATGATTTTACCGAGCTGCTGCACCTTCGTAATCACCATTAGACTCATCCAACTCTTTCCAAATAATCTGCACTGTCCTCAGAAATGAAATGTTCGTATTGGAGCTTCTGGTGCAGTGAATTACGTCATGGTTCTCCTTTTCTCACGGACGATGCCCAACAGACCCTACTATATTGTGCAGTCGACAAAATCAAAAAAACAAACGATGCGAAATTAAAAATGTAAAATGGCTATAAATTACCCATCGCACCTGTATATATATATATATATATATATATATATATATATATATAAATATATAAACCAGAACCCCCTGAAGACTGGAAATTTTACTAAGAAACTTCGAAGTCGGGATAAAATTGATATTTAAAAGTTAAGTTATCTTTTCATATAACGCTGTACATTTAATATTATTTTAATATTGAGCGCTATATATAAAAATAGCTTCTATTTCTTAAATCTTATATATATATATATATATATATATATATATATATATATATATATATACATTATTGTTATACGTTATTTATACAGAAAAATTATTTAAGTAAATGTTCTGTTTATAATAAACCGTATTATTTACATTTACCGCCCTGAATCAAAATATGCTACCAATACATATATATATATATATATATATATATATATATATATATATAATGTGTGTGTGTGTGTGTGTGTGTGCATAATTTAAAAATTTGGATAATAATACCCATCCCAAGATAAATACGGTTAATAATATTAATCAATGTAATTGATTATGAAACAATATGAAAGGAACTTACTTAAAATAAATAGACAAAACTTGTCTATATTATTTAATGAAACATGCATCAATGAAAAATTGCTGCATAAATATAAATATATATATATATATATATATATATATATATATATATATATATATATACCATATATAAATTGTCATAGGACCGGATGACATAACGTCTATTCTAACGTAATTTCAACGAAGAAATAAATTGAATAACATATGTATTTCTACTTTTCTCCTCAGTAATTTTATAATTTTAAACTTGATAGTGATTAAATTTGGATTTTTAAAATTTTAATTTTTAATTTTAATATCAAATTTTATCATATAATTTAATAATTATTGGTTAGAATAAATTCTTTTTTCAAGCTTTTTGAATTTTCCTATACTTGTATTTTGATTGGCCATTCTAGCTTTTGTAACAACGTTTTCCCCTTGCGAAGAATCGTTAATTAATTTGAAACTTTTAAAACTATTTATTTTCATTCAACATCATCACTTGATAAGACACCGGAGGTGTTGAAACAAAATGGCTATTTTTGTACTGATTTTATAACATATTTATGTTATATTTTTTTTTTAAATAAATAATTATATATATATATATATATATATATATATTACCTCCCATCGGATTACCATAAATCTTAACTTACTTCCCGCTTTTTCTCTCTATGTGTTTTTTCTTCTCTACCCCTTCGATATCAATATATAACTTCCGTTAAGTTAACCGTTTAAATGTGTCAATATCTGCTAACTCACTCATATCTTCTCTCTCCCCCCTCACTTCCTCACTTCGTTAATTTACATATGTTTAATACGGCCCGTTAAAAATGTGTAAATTTTCTTTTCATTTTTTGTTTGGAAGTAAAGTCTGATGATCTGCAGTCCTTTAAAAAGGGCTGTGGTGAAATAATTTATTACATGGAACCTTAAAGTGGTCTGTTTTATTTAAATTATTTGCTCTGGATTTACATTGAGCTCTCTGGATTTTATCCTCCTTAGGTTTACCCATACGGATTACCTAGTTTTTCAAACTAACTATATATATATATATATATATATATATATATATATATATATATATATAGTTTATGCTAAACTAGGTGATCCATATGGGTAGAACCAAGGAGGATGATATCCAGAGAGCTCATTCAGTAAATTCAGAGCAGATATGTTTAAAAAAAAAAAGCTTTTCATTTTTCATTTCAACCTTTGGAAGTAATGTCTGATGATCCAGGTCCCTTTAAAGGGGTTGTGGTGAAATAACTTATTACATGGAACCTTAAAGTGGTCTGTTTTTATTCAAACAAATATATATATATATATATATATATATATATATATATATATATATATATATATATATATATATATATATATATATATATGCGTGTGTTTTCGTGTTAATCGATTTTGTATCGGTTTTTTGAAGCTCATTTATTTATTAAATTTGACTATAATTACAAATGCGCGTAATTGGGCAGCTTCATTTTCAATTAAGGAAATCCACAATTCCCAGCATCCTTTGTAATTGGGTCTCTTCTTTTTTTTCCTTTCGTTTTCCATTCTTTCCTTCCTGTCAGACACGCTTGACTGTTGTTCGAATAATGGACAGCGTTTATCGAGAAGTTGACATTAGCCATGCAATGGCTCCTATTATCTTTCTAATTTCAGGGACGAGCAACTCTCAATTTCTGGTTCGGAAGGCGTTGGCGGATTCAAATGAGACAGACACACCCAGGCATAGATTGAAAATATCAAATGAAATTGTAAAGCAGTGACATAATGGCACCATCACTTTCACATAGATCCACTTCCGGATGAAATTTCTATTGGATGCCATGCGCATGCGCAGAATGATAAACTCCATATGGTAGCATTTTGTTTCTATCAATTACGAATGTAGCAGGATTTGTCCATATTTCAGGCTGTCAATCTATTTTTCTTTCCGTTTTATTACCCACATAAACCATTAACTTTCCATACTGTTCTTTTCAAACTTTTAATTTCCTGTTGATAACGGAGTTGTTTTTCGTTACAATATACACAATGTCGATGATAAAATAAGATGTTTTTTGCTTAATCATTCACCCCAGGCAAGGTAATAAAGTCACTAGGATGCAAGCGTTAATGATTCTTAGAGAATATGAGAAAAATTACTACCAAGGAGAGAGGACAATAAAAGAACAAGAATTAAGAAGACAGAAGATAACGAATGATAGTGCAATTCAATTTTTGAAGATCAAAAGCAATAAAGCCACTAAGATGCAAGGGGGTTACTGAATGTTAGAGAATATAAGAAAAATTAATATTAAGGAGAGAGGACAATAAAAGAGCAAGAATTAAGAAGACAGAAGATAACGATTGATATTGCATTTCAATTTCTGAAGATCAAAGGCAATAAAGCCACTAAGATGCAAGGGGTTACTGAATGTTAGAGAATATAAGAAAAATTAATATTAAGGAGAGAGGACAATAAAAGAACAAGAATAAAAAAAACAGAAATTAACTGTTAATATTGCATTGAAATTTGTGATGGTCAAAATCGATTGGGAAGCAAGTATCCGGAAGATAAGAAAAAGCATATATATATATATATATATATATATATATTTGTGTGTGTGTCTGTTAAAGCGTTATTAAGGAGAAAGAACTACAAAATAACAAAAAGTATGATGGCAGAAGATAACAAGTGGTATTGCATTTAAATTTGTGATGATCAAAGTTGACTGAGAAGCAAGAATCCGAAAGAGAACTCCACAAGCAAGAAGTGTGAGAAAAGAAACTATTTGTATAGAACTTACGATTGCCTCTAGCTATATCAGTTGTAAAATAATGAGACATCGCTGCCAACCTAGTACTGCTCTTAAATTTATAAAGTCTAGCTACCATAGAAGAAAGTTTATTAGAACAATTACCATGAAAGTATTTATAGAAAAGGCATAAGGAAGTTACATTAGTGTGCAGGGAAAGTGACCGAAGCCTAGATGCTAGGTGAGGACCAATAACATTGCAGATTCTTCTTGGATTTTATTAAGAATCTCTAAATACATAGCTGGAGAACCAGAACTTAATTCTTTACAGAAACTTTTTTTCTTTCTTTTTTCTTTTTTTGCCCTTTTTCCTTTCTTTAGTTTTTTATTTGTTTGTAAACTTGTTTGGATATTCTTTCATTTTCATTCTATCTATCTCGTCCAGGGTATAACGATAAACTACATCCGCATCCAGTGTAAGACGATAAACTACGTCCAGCAGCAAGGCCTCTGATCAGGAGGTTTTGAGGAGCGTGGAACCACCTCTTAATTGCTGGTTTTCCCATGACCAACCTGACCCGGGGTGGCAGCACCTGTTAGGGTCCCAGCTATGGGAAAATAGTTAACCCCAAAACAGAAGTAAAAAGCATTATAAAAGTGTATATTTAATACTAGGAATAATTTGTAAAAAAATATTACCAGAAATAAATTTTTGAAGAAAAAATCTATTATCAGCAATATATTTTTGAAAAAAAAAAAATTACCAGCAATACATTTTTTTAAATAATATTACCAGAAATAGATTTTTGACAAAAAATATTAGCAGGAAAAATAGTTGTCGTTATTAAGTGGCCTATTGGGGTTGATGTGCCGTAAAACAAAACAAACAAAGCAAATCTATCTATCTATCTATCTATCTATCTATCTATCTATCTATCTATCTATCTATAGTGTTTTCCTATCTATCTATCTATCTATCTATCTATCCATTCATCTATCCTATCTATCTATCTCTGTTCATAATCTATCTATCTATCTATCTATCTATCTATCCCATCTATCTATCTATCTCTGTTCTATCTAATCTATCTATCTATCTATCTATCTATCTATCTATCTATCTATCTATCTATCATCCAGTATTTTCATCTATCTATCTATCTATCTATCTATCTATCTATCTATCTATCTATCTATTCTGTTTTTTTTCTATTCTGTTTTTTTTTTTCTTTCTTTCTTTCTTTTCTTTTCTTTTTTTCTTTCTTTTCTTTCTTTCTTTCTTTCTCCGTCTGTTCATTTTCTGCCATGCCTATCATCTATCTATCTATCTATCTATCTATCTATCTATCTATCTATTCAACTTGTTACCTTCTGTCTTTTCAGCTTTTCTCACATTTTTCCGTCCTTCCTTCCTTCCTTCCTTCCTTCCTTCCTTCCTTCCTTCCATTCACAATTTTCATTTATTTCATTATTTTGCCGTCGTTGTTAATATTTTATTATTATTCCGCTTTTATTCTCTGATTTTTTGACTTCGTTTTTTCATCCATTTTTTTTTGTCATCGTCCTTGTGTCCTTTTGTCGCCTTTATTATTATTATTATTATTATTATATCTTTTGCTTCAATTTACTTTTTTCTCTTATTCATTCTGGCGTTCGTTCACTTCTTTCCGTTATTGATGTGATATTTTCGCACCCAGTGCCGCCATCTTGTCCAAACGCATTCATCGGCGCCATTCCTCAACGGGCAAACAGCCGAATGACACCGACAGCATTTTGATAATGAACAATCAGACGAAAAATCATATGACATATAAAAACATAGGCTTATGTGTTGAATATACGTACACACTCCACACACGCACTCACAACACGCTCACAATATACACACACACATTATATACACTGCACACACGCACACACACACACACATGTACACACACAATACACTCACCACACACAGACAATATGCACACCACAGAATACCACACATCACACAGCACGCACACTGTACACACACAATAGGCAGACCACATACAAAACACACACTACCCATAAGATGCACACCACAAGCACACACACAACACGCACATCGCACACAATACACACACACACACACACACACACACACTACACGCAAACCACAAACATGCACACAACACGCACACGCAATATACACACGAAACACACACAGACATGCACACTCAATACAGTATAATCAAGCCACACACACCTCACACATGCACACACAACACGCACACAATACACATATAACACATAAATACACCATACTCAACTCAAACACACGCACACACAACACATACACACATCACACATGACGCACATAATTCACACACTCACCACACATACGTTGGGTAAACATAAAATTTTTGCTGATGTCAAATATTTAGACGCCATTAACGATTGTAGCGCCACCTGTGCAAAAACAAATGATACAAATTTTATAATTTCAGTTCTTTCACCCCTCAACATGTCAATTTCACCCCTCAACATGTCAATTTCACCCCTCAACATGTCATGATTTTATCAAACATAGTTTTTTTTTTAATTATAATTGTCCATACTCCATCATGAACATTTTTCCCTGCAATATTTTTTACGTTGAGGTTCAAGGCCCGAGACCCACTCAAGTTAGATGGTTATAGAGTAAGGAACAAAGTTTATGAGGATGGATGGAGAAGATAACGGTTAACTCTGGACTTGAACAGGTTAAGATTGTAGTGATCAGGGAAGCATCCTCTTGGGAGTCGCTTCTACAGATCAGAGGGTTACAGAGTAAGAGGCACTGATTATGGAGATATATGAGGAAGATAACGGTTAACCCTTGACTTGAACAGGTTAGGATTGTAGTGATCAGGGAAGCATCCTCTTGGGAGTCGGTTCTGCAGAGCAGTGCTTCGTGAAACGAAGTTGCTTCTATGGAATTTACATCTTATCAATGGAATACAGATGGAATAAGGGTGGTTCACTTCAATGGGCGTAGCGTGGTGGCGGTTCCTAGCTGTAAAGGTTAGGACTGGAGGAATTAAGGAATCTAGTTCGACTGAGCACTTTTCATGGAAATCGTAATAAAGCAGTGAGAGGGTTGCGATGTTTCGTCTGTAAGAGAGGCGTTTTAAGCTGGAAAATAATTTGTCACCCACAAAGACGCGGAGACGCTTTTGGTGTCTATCGAGACTGGGAAGCTAAGACTGGGTTCCTACTGTCCATATATAGCAGCAGTTCTCCATTTTCGGTCTTGTAAAGGATAGCAGGAGGAGTCAGGTTATTACTGGAGCGGTACTGGGAAACGACCATTTTCCGTGCATCTTTAGCGTTCGATCGTATGTAGCAGTTCCACTTGAGGTCTGGTTTGAATCTTAGGCCCAACAGTGTCTCAAGAATTGGTGCCTTCTTCAGGGAACATCTCTTCTGGTGATAGTTCAGGGTTCAATCGGCGATGATTGAATATATTCAATCCGGAATTCTACGAGAAATAAAAGTAGGATTTTTTTTTTTGTCGGGGGAATTTCTTTTCCGTGTCTGTTTTTAGTCTGACAATTATTTAATGTATTTTCTATTTATATGTTATTTTTATAGATACAATTTATTAAATTAAATAAATTGTATCTATAAAATAAAAATAACAATATAAAATATATATATATATATATATATATATATATATATATATATATATATATATATATATTGTTGAAACTTGACTAATTCATGGAATAATAATGCAACACAAAATGTACTTAGAACAAAATGTATTGAAACAAAAAGTGTACACAATATTTACATATAGTCTTTTGTATATTCCTGGTAAGACCGTTCCTGGAGAATGTGTTCACTGAGTCGCAGTCGGGCAGAGTCTTTGGTTGAATCTCTTGATTCCTCCCTCTTCCCGGTACCAACCATATTTATATGGTCGGTACTCCCACTATGAAAATTAGGTGGATCCTACCACATATATATATATATATATATATATATATATATATATATATATATTAGTAGTAGTAGTAATAATCTTAATGAAAAAGAATTCAGGTAGGTTGGTATTTATTTAAGAAATTAAAAAATAAAAAGTACAAGGATAATAACCTAAACACGTGCACCCCCTAAAAATAACGTTCAGAGTAATAATAACAATACATACATAAAATATATATATATATATATATATTAAAGACATTTTTATTTATGTTTAACGTTGTTATTTTATAGATACAAGTATTTAAGCAAATGCTCTGTTTATGATAAACAGTATTAAATAACATTTACCGGCCTGAATGTCCGAGAAATTTTCATAGAAAATATTCGTTCATAGACAGGATTCGAACCTGCATCCTATACGGAACCGTCATATACGCTGACGTGCCTTAACCACTCGGCCACCATGAACCTTATGGTAGACAAGGTCGAATTTACTGTTATAAACTACAATCTTCCATGAATCTCGTACATTCATAACTGCTCTGGCGTATCGAATGTAAACAAATGACGTCATATGTTAAGAAATGGACGAGGTCCGACAATTTATTTATTAAAGACATTTTTATTTATGTTTAACGTTGTTATTTTATAGATACAAGTATTTAAGCAAATTTAACATATGACGTCATTTGTTTACATTCGATACGCCAGAGCAGTTATGAATGTACGAGATTCATGGAAGATTGTAGTTTATAACAGTAAGGTTCATGGTGGCCGAGTGGTTAAGGCACGTCAGCGTATATGACGGTTCCGTATAGGATGCATGTTCGAATCCTGTCTATGAACGAATATTTTCTATGAAAATTTCTCGGACATTCAGGCCGGTAAATGTTATTTAATACTGTTTATCATAAACAGAGCATTTGCTTAAATACTTGTATCTATAAAATAACAACGTTAAACATAAATAAAAAATGTCTTTAATAAATAAATTGTCGGACCTCGCCAATTTCTTAAATATATATATATATATATATATATATATATATATATATATATATATATATATTCGAACTCGCCTCCCCGATTCCGCAATCCAAGCTGCTGTCCATTACTCTACCGTGCAGTCGAATCCATTACATTCACTTACGTTCTAATACCCTTGGGAAAGGTGTGAATCCTCTTCTTCTCCCTCCAGCTATGGGTAAATAGCAGGGCAGACTGGGTTCTATAGCCTTGGATGGCAACTGGTCTAGGAGAAGGACAACTCTAAATTCAAAACCTGCGGAGAGTCGTTGGGGACCTTGTAGCACGTAGTGCACCAGGTCTCTGTATTCGACCCTTGTGTGGATGGTCCTGCACGAAACCTTCACCACTATAATCAAATCTCATGTGCTGTTGTCGGGCTGTCGGTTTCCTGGGAACTGATCTGCTTGACCCTCATACGTCGAATTCGACGGAAGAGTCGTGCGAGCAATATATATATATATATATATATATATATATTATCCAGCTATATAAAAAATTCTGCGACTTCCATCCATCCATCCGTCCGTCTCACTCTCTAAAATTGCGATATATTGACCGATCAAAACGAAATTTTGTGGAGAAGTGCAGACAGATAAGTGGGTACAAACTACAGTTGGTTTTACAAGTATATTCAATTTTTATTAATGTTTTTGGAAGAATTAAATTTTATTATTTAACATACAAATTATTCCCAATATTTAAAAAATAATTTAATGATTAAAAAAACAACTACTTATTTAATAAAATGCAATATTGCTTTTGGCATATCTTTTCTTTAAGATTTTATGTACACAAGGATCCAATTTCCAATTCGCCCTGCGTTTGCGAGAATTATAAACAAATCACAAAGCCAAACGCTCCAGAGAAGAAATATTTACGCATGCCCAGTTGAATGTTGTATTTCACACCCGTGTGTGAAACCTGGCCGCTCAGGGTGGTTGACCAGCGCAAACTGGAGGTGTTCGACAACAACTGCCTCCGTCGCATCCTGCACTGCCGACGCGTCGACCGGGTCCCTACCACCGAGCTCCGCCACCGCCTCGGCCTACGCCCCCTGCCCGCAGTCCTTCTTCAACGGCGTCTGCGATGGTTCGGACACGCTGCGCGCCGGTCGAGAGGGGAGCTGATACGGGACGTTCTCCTTCCTACACCGCCGTCCACGTGGCGGAAGCGGATAGGCGGACAGCTGAAGACGTGGGCCTCAACGATCAAGGAGGATCTGGCGTTACTTTCCGGCCCGCATGTGGTCGGCCTCCGCCGCAGGAACCGCGACTGGCTTACCATCTCGTGCGACCTCGCGACAGACCGACGGGCGTGGGCAGCAATGGTCCGTGATGCGGTGCGTCAACAGGAAGAAGCCGGCTCAATCCGCCCAGGGTGAATGCCGCATCAAGACAAGACAAAAGAAGTTGAATGTTGTATGCTCAAGTGTAAGAAATCGTAAGAATTTATTCTTTGCTGATAAAAAAAGTGAAAAAAGAGAAAATTTCTAAAAAAATATTGTTTACTATAAAGT